TGTGTACAGTTCATTTACACGTCCACCCTATTACAATAGCACAGGTTGTCGAAGACACAGGCAATCTATATAAATGAGGGGGGGGGGGAGTTGATGATACCTGAGGATGATACTAAAGCAAACACGCCTGCACTCTCGCCCTCGTTAACGAACGGTTTGTCAGTCAAACCGTTTTGGCGATTATTACAACAGCCCAAGAGACGTTATAATAACTGCGAGCGAATTAAATGTCATCGAGTTTCGTAATCCTTTTGCCAGTATAAATGCAGTTAGGAATTACGAGTAGACGGTTTGGGAGCATGCGGGGTTATTCGTATAGATACGCGAAAGAAAACGTTCGTGGACGGTGAAGTGACATGCAGGATTTAGGTTGAAGGGTTAAGGGTTCCTTTCCACGAATAGTCGGTCGAATCTGTGTCTGAATTGCGAAAGTGCTGAACTGTGATAGTCGATGAGTGTACACGGATTAAAAACTTTAGAATTATTTTTGCGAATCGGTGAACTATATGAACATATGTCATGTCGATTTTTGACCCTTATATTGTACAATGATACAAGGTAAACATTAGGAATCCGTCTTATCACCATCACATTTCCTTTGTAACTCCGTTGTGCTCCGTAAGACGGTGCACACAAAACTAAATAACGGTGAATTGAACCACCGGAATTGAAATCTACCGAGAAATATAGCAAACGGATGTCTTTCGTAAGTTCTGTATTTGCACCTATGTAGCGGATAACTAACCAAAACAACATGAAAAATGGAAGTAAGTGAAATTACACGCGGTGATTCCGACGAACACGTGTTATATCGAAATAATAACATAATGAAAGTCAAATCTAAGTCTAAATAATTTTGTGCGGGCTGTGAGTGCACGGGTGGATGACGTCACACGCATTGCTACGTTCACCGGTGTTTAACACTCTAACCGCATATATAACAGATTTACATGTCATTTCTAACAACGCAAGGCCTATTCCCAATGCCAAGGCGCATATACAAGATGCACGCGGGCGTCCGTTCGCACGCACTCCACCCCCCCACACACACACGTAAGCACGCACGTACACATGCACACTCACTCTCTCCCTCCTCCTCATCTCTCTCTCTCTCTCTCTCTCTCTCTCTCTCTCTCTCTCTCTCTCT